ATTCTTCCATCGCTTGACGGAAAAGAGGATGGAGGGCTGCGACGGCCGTTTCTGGCAGTCGGTATTCGTCGATTTCGTTGCGATACTTGATCTCCATGGACTCGAGCTTGTCGGTGATTTCGTCGAATTTCGCTCGAGTGTCTTCCTTCTGGAAGATCTCTAGCTGCCCGATGGCTGTGACGAGCTCCGACAGCTGGTCGGCCTTGAGCTGATTCGTATCTAGCTGTTCCACAACTTGGGCTTCCTCTAGCTCGATGTATTTCTTCCGCTCTGTCAGACCCTTCCACTCGTCCGCAAACGCTTCTAGGTCGTTTCGAGCGCGTTGCGCGATCTTCCAGGCTTCTCCTTCTCCTTGGGTAACGAATGTCTGCGGCGTCATCAGACCAGCTGTAGACGTGAGCAACTTCTGGTCCTTCCCAGTCGCATCGATCAGCGACTTCAGCACATTCGGAACTTCCAAGCCCTCCATGTCCTTTTCCATCTCGCGCGCAGTCCGGAACTGAGGCTTCGCGCGAGCCACTGGTGTCCCTGTCCCGCTCCGGCCCTCTCGTTTGCGCTCCTCCTTCTTCTTCCGTCGCCTCTTGCGCTCTTCATCTGAGCTGTCCTCGACGGACTCGCCCCGGAGAGCTGCTGCCCGTTTTTCCTCTTCCCGCGCTTGTTTTGTCTTCTCACGGACTGCACCCAAACCGGCACCCGTAGGACGAGCCTGGGCCTCAATCGGGTTGACGATACCTTGACCGGAAGAACCCAAACCCTGTCCCTCGACGTAACCCATCTTGGCCATCATGCGCGCGGCGAAGGAATTGCCTCCGGACATTCCTTTGCTAGCATTGTTGCCGCCACCTCTCATCGCTGACTGCGCGGTATTATTGCGGGGGTTACGACGGGCGCTTCCCAGCCCGCCGTAAGATGGAGGCGACTCGGAGCGAGACGACGCGCGAGCGAACCCGCGAAAGCCCATGGTTGGGCGGTAATCTTCTTCTTCCTCTTCATCGGAGCTCATGTCGGCGATCTTGCGTTTTTGGCCGGCGTAGGGCGAGGATGAGGGGGACTCCATGGCCGGGCTGGAGGGCGAAGGGCGGCACAAAGTAAGGGATCGAGATTCACGGCGATGAAGGCGAGAGAAAGCCCGGCAGCATGACGGAGATTGTGATTGAGTATGGATGGATGAAGCTAAAAGAAGGTGGATCCAAATGCCGGGAAACTTCGGCGCGGGGAAATGCGCCCTCCGAAGAAACAAGCCGTTATGACGTTGAACTTCTTCATCTCTCCTTCTTCCTTCTTCTCCCTTTCTTTCTTCAGCAACTCTCCTCTCATCTCCTTAATACCCCCGGGTCTATTGTAATAGTGCATCTTGCTCTGTTCTAATTAACGCTCACAATGGCTGCTTCCCTCGTCCGCACCTCTGCCCGTACGGCCCTGCGCGCCGGAGCTTCGGCTACTCCCAGAACTGCCGGCATGGCGGGCTTGACTTTTGCCCGCGGCAAGGCTACTCTCCCTGACCTGTCCTGTATGCATTCCCCTGCGATTATAGAGACATATAATAGAGCTTGTAGTGACTGAACTGACTCCCTGTAGACGACTATGGCGCTCTCGAGCCCTCCATCTCCGGCAAGATCATGGAGCTTCACCACAAGAACCACCACCAGACCTACGTCAACAGCTACAACACTGCCATTGAGCAGCTCCAGGAGGCCCAGCACAAGAACGACATTGCCGCTCAGATCGCTCTCAAGCCCCTCATCAACTTCCACGGTGGTGGTCACCTGAACCACACCCTCTTCTGGGAGAACCTTGCTCCCAAGAGCGCTGGCGGTGGTGAGCCCCCGTCCGGTGCCCTGTCGACTGCCATCAACGACACCTACGGCAGCCTGGAGGAGTTCCAGAACAAGATGAATGCTACTCTTGCTGCTATCCAGGGTAGCGGCTGGGCCTGGCTCGTCAAGGACAAGCAGACCGGTCACATTGGCATCAAGGCCTATGCCGTAAGAATTCACCATATGTGTGAAGAAAGCTTTCAGATTGGCTAACCTTTTCGCAGAACCAGGACCCCGTTGTCGGCCAGTTCCAGCCCCTGCTGGGTATCGACGCCTGGGAGCACGCCTACTAGTAAGTGCACCTGCCCTAACCCGTGAAGATTATCCGAAGCTAACATCATTTTCTAGCCTCCAATACCAGAACCGCAAGGCCGAGTACTTCAAGGCCATCTGGGAGGTCATCAACTGGAAGGCCGTGGAGAAGCGCTTCTCCGCGTAAAGCTTTTCTTATGATATGAACTGTATATTGACGCGGCTTGATTAGCGATTGTGGATCTGCGTATTATGTGTACTACTGGATTTGGAACTAATCAGGCTCAACCTGATGCCCTAATGCAAATTCTGTATTAATGGCACTCCTCTCTGCTCTTCGTTTCTCTCTGTAAACAAATAGACTCATGTTCTTCATCAGCCACAGTGGCTGAAGCTCGGCAGGTGGCGGATGCCAGTTCCGTAACATCCGGTAAATGTAATACAGCGCCGATCATGTTTCACATTCGCTGCATCGCCGGCTTCATCTTCATCTTTATCTTCTCTTCGTCCTCCCATCTTCTCCGCTTCACCCTTCAGTACTTCCCCCCAATGTCCGATGACAGCCCGGGAGAGAGGCGCGGCTTCCGCGCCTTCTTCGCCAATGCCCTCCGGCCCAAGAAATCCCGACAAGTCCTACGCAAGGGCTACAGCGCATCCACACCAGACCTCCGAGCCGGCTTCGAGCGGCCCAGCACCACCAGCGAAGATGTCCCTCCGCTGCCCTCCCTGGCGCCATTGGAGGCCCATCGCCTCAAATACCGAGAAATAAACGCCAACAAAGACACCCAACTCGGTGAAAGCCGCGATCACACCGAACTCCTGCACTCCATCGGCGTCCAGGACATCGACCCTTCAGACCCCTACGCCAACCGCTCCGAGTTCGACAACCGTCCTCCAGGCGAGCCTTTAATCGCCAGTCTTACCCCAATCCTCTGGGCAGAGATCTGCTCCTATCTCGATCCCGCCGACCAAGCCAGTCTCGCCTTCGCCAGCAAAACCCTCCTCTCCAAGCTCGCCCCGCTTCAACCCTGGCAAGCCCTCAATGACCCTTCCAACCGCGAATACCGATCCGACTTCCTCGTCTCCCAAGACCGCTACCTCCCCCATCACCTCCTCTGCTTCCCCTGCGCCCGCTACCACCGTCGCACCCAAGAAGGCCACGAGAAACTCCAACCCGCCCATGTCGTCAACCCGCTCTTCAACTGCCCCAACATGCGCAACTCCCTCCTCCCGCCCCCGCGTCACCGCATCACCCACGGCCGCACCCTCCCCTTCAGCTTCGTCCAACTCGTCATGCGCGCCCACAACTTCTCCCCCTCTTACGGCCTTCCCCCGGATTCCCTCTCCCGCCGCTGGCGCCGCGACGACTGGTCCCACCACACCCGCTTCCACATCCACAAAGGTCACCTGCTGATGCGGGTAATCAGCACCCGCTTCGCAGACCCAGACCTCCCGCCCAGCTCACAACGTCTCCTCCTCTACTCCCGCGAAGACTACTGGCCGTATTTCTCTGCATGCGCGCACTGGCGCGATGGCGAACTCATGAACGTCTGCAAATGCGCCCTCACTCACATCCCCAAACCCCGCGACACCTCCGCCCTACAGGGTCTCGAACACCGCGCGAAGGACCTCATGGCGCGGCGCATCCACAACCCTAACTCGATTACCACTCTATGCGGAAAATGTCGCCCCATGCGCCGCTGTCCGGAGTGTCCGTCCGAATACCTCGTCGAGATCAAGTTGACCGAGGATCGCACGGACCCGCGCTCCTTGCACTTCCGACATGCAATTGTGGTCACTCGGTGGTGTGACCTAGGTGACGGGAAGTCACCGCGGCTGTCGAGGGAGTGGGCAGCGTGTAATGGGTTATTGGAGGGGTATGATTCGTTTCAGATGCTGGGAAAGCGGTCTATATCAGGGATTTTTGAAGCTTCGATTACGGATGATACCTTACCTGGACAGAGGATTATATCGATGAATCCGAAGGGGAAGAAGAGGGGAGAGGATGGGACGGGGTGGTATTGATTGTTCATTTTCCTCTCAGAGAAAGAAAAAAATGATCATGTTGGAGTTTTGGGTTTCAGGTATGTATGGGAGTTTTGTATAGGGCTGGTTGCATTGGGTATGGCATGGCGGACGGCATATTTACATAATTATATTATATAGATTGACAACACAAGCAAGGCAAAGCTAGACTGGGGTAGGCTAAAATATGCAGGACAGGTTAGGACAGGCGTGTATGGAGTACCGCGTTTACTATCACTACTTTAGTACTTCATATTATCATATTGCATCTTATCATGGAAAATGAAGTGTCTCTCATACTCCTACGAAACTACTACTAGTAGTTATTACTACTCAATTCCTTATGGGACAGATACTAATAAACACATCTATCTGCATATTGTAATATATTGTGTACTTCACATCAGATCATCCTTCCTAGAAAAAGTATATGGTCAGATCAAGAAGCAGAAAAAGGCCTTCCCGAATCTCTAGAGTGTCTTTACTAGATGACCCTTTCTAGTATACCATCCTCCCTGTCTACTTAGGGTATGTATGCTCAATCACCGTATGATGGGATGATTTAACAGCTAGGTTTTTTTTGAGTCCTGCTAAGATTTCGTTCTTCCTTTTCACAATATGTCTTGGATGTTACGCCCTATTGGAGAGTGTATTGCCTGTTTGTTATGGTGAGGTGATGATAGATGCGAAGTATTGGTGTGTATTTGGGGTCACGTGTTTGGGCTCGCTTTTTGTTTGTATGGTGTTGCATAGTTTAAAAGATATGGAAGTTACTCGGTAGTGTATAGCATTTAGATTACTTGTTGGATTACCTATGATGGAAAGAACGATGTTCTGGGATTTCGCAGGAACGAATAGTTGGTACGAACCACTGCTTGAAATGCATGGAGAACGAACGATCAGAACGTCAGGTATTGATGAAATCACCAAAGCAAGAAGCACAAAATGATATCGTGTGCCAGCCAGATACCATGTGTATAGCAAGCAACAAAGAATTAGCAACCACCTCTAATGGCCCAAAAATAAAACGTCAGAAACGCGGTACTCTCTGCTGCGCATGCAATACTAGTACAAATCCGTGTCATCAGACATGTAACTCATGGGGTATCGTGATAGATCATAAACAGTCCCGGGAAAGATGCAAAGGAAAACAGAAAGTAAAGAAAGAAATTTTTGAAAGCGGGATAAGGCAACTGCCAGTTTAGCCACGACGAGCCCGTCGGTCGATGTACCTTGGTCGTCGGCCTGTTTCTTCGTCGTGGTTTGAATGTTTGGACTTCGAGGCAATGTCATCAATGGCAACGTTCATCGCGCCCATCTCAATGGTTCTACCGGAGTCAGAAGCACTCTTTCCTGACTCTGGAGTCGCCCGAGGAGGTCTGCTCTTGACCAAGGCAGTACTGGGCGCGCTGGCCTTCACTGGAAGCTCTGGTTCCGCCTTCTTCCCAAGCCCGCTAGCCCCTTTCACCCAGCTGAAGATTCCAAGGGAACTGCGCCGCTTGTGGTCCTTGGGGTCGGGCGGCGGCGGTTTGGCCCCTGCATTGTTCATGAAGCCGGATTCGGTAAAGGAGTGTGGCAATGTCCGATGAATATCTCCCCGTTTGGCGTCGGCAGGCATTGGCACAGACGAAGAAAAACTGGAACTATTGCTTTCGGCTTTGGAAGCCGTCTTCGTTGGTTTGGCCGGATTGTCATCGCGTGCTTTACGAATAATGGGAGCAGGAGCTCCATCGTCTGAATCCGAACCATCGAACATTAGGGAGGGCTGGAGACGACGAGGAGGCGCCGAACGTGCAAAGAACGGAGGGCGGATGCTAATCTTGCGTCCGATCATCCGACGATCTAGTTCGGGCCCAGGCTGCAAGCCAGACTCTAGCGACTGTATATCCAGTGTGGGAATCATGGGAACATCCGAGTCCCTGATGGTGGAATCGATGCTGTGCCGACGACCAATAAAAGAAGACTGGCTGGTGATTCGCGTCTCCTGAGGTCGGGGGTTTTTCGATTTAGGCACAACAGGCATCATAGCAGACTTGTCCCGTCGGCGTTTGGCATCCGGCTTAGAAGCCTCAACCCAATCTTGGGGCGTCAAAGGAGGTGATGAAGACAAGGAGCTGTCAGATTCATCCTGTGCCATGGACCCATAGTAGCTATTATCGAGCTTTGAAAGAACCCTGTCAAGGCCTTCACCATTGAGAAATGCATTCTGGCCAATGTACCCAAGGCTCTTCTTGTCCAGGGTTTCCGGGCAATATAGCCTTTTATCCCGCGATGTGAGGCTGTTCAAGGGGAAAAAAGTAGGCGATTCTTCCTCATCGGTGTCAGGTCGATGTAAAGTGGCATCACTTACATTCATGTCCACGCTACCAACCGCTGCACTGTTAATGGAGTTACGCCTCGTTGTAAGTGCCCCTGCAGAACGCGGACGACCGTGTCCGGCCGTCATAGCTTGATCAACAAGGCTCTTTTCCGCAACAATGCTGCCGTTCGACCGGTTGGGACCAGTGGCGTACGCCGTACTCATAGTGTCTGGAGTAGGGGGTAATCTCGAACCTCCAAACACGCTATCCACTCTTGTTTTCTGGCTCGAGCTATTGTATGAGTCACTGTCAAAGCTTGGTTTACCCGTCTGCCTGAGAAGATTTGAGGGCAATATATCCTGCTCCGGCACATCTTCCAGGAAGGCATCACGTTGTGGCTGGATCCAAGATTCAATCAGGCTCTTACTGGAGGACTCCTCAACCGTTCCTTTGGGAGCCTCCGAGACCCCTGATGAGTCTCGCTCTTTAACCGGGATAACCAATCGATCGCTTGCTTCTTCATCGTGCGGGTACAATTCACTGCATTCGCTCAGAGCACTGAGCCGTGGGGACTCTGGCTCGAGGAAATCGCTCATAGATTGCAGACTCTCTGATTTTGTCATGTCACTCAATGCTGAACGAGACCGGTCGTCAGCAGTAGTTGAGGGGGCCTGCAGTGTTGTGGGGCTCTTGTGATCATCGGATAACAATGAAGGAGCTCGCTTGAGCTGATGCGAATCCGAAGATGACCGCCGATGCTTCGAACGGGAAGTACCCCGCCACGAGGATGTTCTCTCCGGGATGTCAATAGCGGCAAACGTGGTATTCTGCCTGGGAGTCGTAGCACCGGGGTCGTCGTCTTCGAACCCGCGAGTGGTAGAAGGTGTCGATGGATTTTCACCAGCTTCCAATTGGGCCACTTTATTCTCCAGAAGGCAGATCATATCAACAGCCTCCGTGATTGCCTGGTCCCGCTTGTCAACCTCATGTCGTAGTTGCTCGTTGGATTCCCTTAGTCGCTGATTGTCTGCCTCGGCATCCCTCAGTTCCTGAACCTCGTCTTCCAAGCCTCGCAGGCGCTCGAGCTCCTCTTCCAGTTGCTCCATACGCTGTAGTTTCTTCTCCAAAGCGGCCATTTGTTGCACACGGTGGAATATTTCGAGCTTCAAGTCGAAGTTTTGTTTGTTGATCTTGGAGACGTACTGCCATTTGGTCAGTCAGTCTATAGGCCACATGGATCGAATGACCCAGAAACAACTTACCTCGCCCATTTCTCTGACCCCCATTTCATGCGGCTGCCTGAGACCCGACGAAAGCGCGGTCTGAATTTTCCGCTGTTTCTCCGAGCCCACCTCTTCCTGCGATTGAGATCGGGTTTGCGACTGGGACTGTGCGGGGGATTGAGATCGAGACTGGGGCCGGGTGTGAGATCGTTCTGGCGTGCGCGGGGCGCCCTGACCAGCGTCCTCCGACGTAGTTCCCTTGGGAACTCGATTCGCGCGTTGTTCTTTGAGGAGATCTTGGAGAAGGGCCGAAGAAGGGTTGACGAGCGATGGAGGGGCAGGTTCCGGAGTACCTGTTTGTCCATCACTAGTCAGCGTGTGCGCTCGCTCCCTCCGGCGTGAAGTCTGCGGCGATGCCATGTGCGTACCGGCTCCAGATCGCTGCGGCGTTCTCGGCGTTGCGGTCCTGGGGGTCATCGACATTGGTGAAGCGTCGTTCAACCACGATATTTCTATAGTCCTATCAATACCACTGCACGCCCGCTGCTGGGAAGAATTCCGCACCTGAATTCATTTGCGGCGAAGAGTCCATGGCGACGGTTCCCTTGACCCGGGCGAGGGCAAGAGGCTTTGGGGGAGCAGACCGGCCTGCAGGGGAAGGTAAAATCAGTCCAGTGTCTTTTGTTTGTCTCAAGTATCCCTTGGGTGACAATCAAGGGATGAGAGGGTAGTCAATAGCTCACGCTTCAGCTTCGGTTCGGGTTTGAGAGAGGCCGTATCGGTCGGAGGCGAGGTGTTTGAAGAGGAGGGAAATGAGCAATGGCGCAGGGAAGAAGGGGCAGTTGACTGCACCGAGATGCTGCTCCGTCTTTGGATATTTCGGTCCATGTTGCGTATGTGTGTCTGCGGGTGAAATGGGCCAAAGTTGCCTAGCTAATGCGCATAATTGACAAGATGTTGCGCGATGCCAGTTAGACTGCAGTAGGTTCGCAGGATCGTATCCACTAGGCGCGAGTTCGTTCAGAAGGATCGGGGAGGGAGTCGACCGATAGAGCAAGGAGGAAAAAGCAATGTCTCAGGCGGAAGGTGAGAAAATGCGACTAGGAAGGGCGATTGGTGACGAAACTAGGCCCACTGCGCGTCCAAGCGTCTAGTGGGAACGGCGAGGAGAGGGGAACCAGAAGTGGAGGAAGTGTAAGTTCGGACGGGAAGAACAAAGAAGGAAGCGAGAAAAAAAAAAGAGGTCAAGTCAAGACGTGAGGGGAGCGAAAGAGAAAAAGTGTGAGGAGAAAGTGTGACGAGTCGATCGTTGGATCCTCACGGCCAAGAAAGGGGACCGAGTGACAGGAAGATGATCTCCACACATGCATCCATCCATGGAGGGAGGGAGGAGGGAGGGATTAGTTAGTGAGAGCGATCCGGATCTTGAGTTTCTCGGTATGTATGCATGCAGGCATGCGTTGGATTTGGGGGAAGTTACTGTGGTATGGACGGAAGGTTGCCAAGCAACAAAGAAGGTTGACTGAACAACGAAATGCCAGCGAGGGGGGGGAGGAGCAGAAGAATTTGAGGATGAAGTGAATGCGTGATGATGATTGTGATGAATGCAAGCAGGCGGGTAGGCCAAGTAGGCAGTCTGAATGGTCTTGGATCGAGAGAGGGGAAAAGGCGTGCAAAGCAACGAGATAGGCTCAAGGAACAAACGATCGCAGGGCACTAAAACCCGGGCTAAAATGACCTTAGCGGAGCACCAGCAAGTCAGGAACTGGATCCCGGTCCCGGTCGCTCTTCCCACCATCTCCCCAGTGGGTTTAGTGCGGTTTAGTGCAGTGGATTAGTGGATGGTCTCCGATGGCTGGGCCGGCTGAACCTGAACTTAAGCTTCCAATCGCCTTTCTCCCTCTGCTATTGTCCTGAATTTGAGGACCACCAATAGATAGGGTGGCTGGTCAAGTGTAGTGGTTGGAAAGCCCGTACCTTTTACTATATTTTCTTGTTACCACACTCCATCCCTACTGTAACCTCTCCCTATTGCTCCATCCCTCAGAATTGATCACACGCATCCTTACGGAGGATATACAAGGATCGCTACCACTGAATTGCAGGGACGGGAATCATCAATGTCAGTGCCCTTTTCCCCCACTTCATCGGCTAAAATCTCACGATTTCACTACCCCTCCTCGCCATCAATCTATCTACCATCTATCTAGTATCTAGAATTGCAGCAGAATCTGATCCGTCAACTTGCCCTCCTTTTTTTCCTTCAAGCTGCCCCACGTTCCAGGGACCCATCGGCCGCCCGTGGTTCTCCCCTCCCCACTATACCAGTCCCGTCTGCAATCATCGTCTCATCATCCCCATCGCTCTCAGCTTTAGTCTAGTCCTTCATCCATCGCCCCCGTGACAGATAACTTGCCCCATCGTTCTTCCCGTGGCTCGTCTCGGACACCCAGAAATAGATTTTCTTTTTTTTTTTCTCCTGTTCCCCTTTTCCTTTTCCAATCTTTCCAACTGTCCCCAGCTCGTGGGCCTTAAAACACAACCCCTCGGTTATGCCGGTCGTAGGCGCTTTTTCCTCCGCCAGTCGGAGTTGACATGTCCTCCCAGTCATTCTTATCTCGGTGGCATTGAACCCGTGACTTCCCTCCATATCTCCGGAGCACGGAGTACAGTACATGAAGATCATGAATCTGCGTGATAGGGTTATTCGCAGCGATTGACCGGAACTTTCAGATGATAGGTTTCGGGTAACTTGTTTCATGTTGTTCCTTCAATTAATCGAGTGCCAGCAGGACATTAATTGAGCCTTTTCATGTCTATACGGACGGAAATAAGATGTCAACCACTATGACCACATTTACCAACAAGACCTATACATAGTCAATCCAAAGATAATGAATATTATAGTCATCGCATTTTGATACTTCATAATTACTCTTAGTCTTCTGTTAAGTTTGAGTTCATACCGGCGAGCACAGCTCAACCTTTCAACAACCCATACCTTCCACCCAAAAACCCAATACTCTACTACCATAACATCACTTCTTCTTCGCCTCTCCAGCCCAGACCCGCGTCTCCTTAGCACTATCATGCGCAACCCGGAAAACTACCCACAAGCATCAGCAATCAGCAACACACAGACACAACGGTGAACATACGCTGTCTCTCCGTCTCATCCAACCCTCGCAAGAAATCCGCTCCCTGCCCTAAAGCACCCTGCGGATTATGCGCGTGGTCTGCAATGACCGCTGAGCGCTTCTTAAACGTCTATCATCATCATCATCATCATCACAATTAGCCATCTCGCCCACCCTCCCCAGTACACATAAGCAACCATACATTACTCAAAACCTCCACCAATTCCTCCTCCTCAAACAGCTCCAGAATCCGCTCACTCAGACTATAGAAATGCGGTGCTAGGGACCGCAGATCCACCGTCCGAGGATCAGCCTTCAAGGCGTTCATGACCCGTTCTGAAAGTGCGGAGGGGAGATCCAGCGTGACTAGGCGGGAGGTTCCCAGGCGGGCACTGCGATAGTTAGACAATACTACCCTCTCACTCTCCAAGATAGTAGTAGTAGTAGTAGTAGGTAGATTGAAACTCACCCGATAGAAAGCATCTCACCCAGCCATAATGGCAAATCAATGCGCGTTCCTGCTTTGATCTAGATGAAACACACACACATTTAGCAAGACACACTTTTCATGCACAAAATAAATCAACAAGCACATAAGACAGGAGAGAGATACATTTTCTCCCGCATTCCCCTCCAAAATACCAAGACCAGGTACGTCCAATTCAAACGTGCAAGGTAGTTTCTGGATAGATCGGATGTGTGTGAGAAATGAGCCCAATGCATGCATGCAGTTTCATTTTCCACCTACTTGGGAATCTGTCAAGATGGCATCAATGTCATAGTACGACATTTTCGACAGAAAAATCAACTTGTGTATAACTAGTTCATTAATAGGATTTTTAGTTATTGATATCTCTTATCCAGGTGGAGGGTCAAACTCGTCCTTCTTTCCTTTGGAGGCGCGTCCCGCATGGCGCGCTGTCACGTGCGGGGAATCTTTACTTTGCGGTTAGCCAATAAGAGGGGAGATATTTACAGTCGGTGCTACATGACTGATTTGTGGGACAGGGTTTGGGGGTCAACTACAATATTGATTGCTTTTCTAAATTTGATGCTATACTTGTATTGTTTTAATGGGTATTGGCACATATATACAATTAGTTGAGTGAGAAACTGATTTGTATACATTCGATGACGTCACTGGTATTTGGACGGATGTAAGGTTAGTGTATGTATCGAAGACATTAGCAATGATTACAGCTGAGTGCGGCTCACTAAATAGATACCTTTTATACAGCAAGTAGATGGTCTTGATTGATATTCGTATTATGCTAGTAGTACCACGAATCTGGTACTTGTGGTCCGAAATTGTTGCGCACTTCCATCCGCAAGAAAGCGTCCTCCAGATTCCAAATCTCAGCCGGACGACCTCCATAATCTTCGGTGCAGACGAGGAACAATTTAAGCCATTCAATACCTGGCATGCCGGTATAATCCTCTATACTTAGGAACGCCCTCATTACCCGCAAAGCTTGCCTCGCAGTGACTGTGATCCTTTTTCCCGGATCGAATAGCAGAGCCAGTCGAAGCGCATCTGTCCCATAGTGAATACCTCTTGCGGTATCAGGCTCTCCCCAAGATGAGGAGGGTAAAGAATCAGGGTGGGTGTCGTACAATTTAGACGTCATGAGGTCTATCTTGTTAACGAACGGTAGATATATTGGACGAAGATCGTACAGACTCTGCATTCCTTTTAATTTTCTCTAATGGCATAATTAGATTATCATCATGTCGTAAACAATGACGCAGGTAGTAAGATTTATGAGATCGTATATATGCACTTACGTCCAACGGGTTTACCTTGAAGTCGATCCTATTAGCACAAGTATTGCACTTAGTATCTTTAAGACATTCTGAAAGCTTGGACAAAGGAGTATTAACTTTGAGACAATGCAAAGTGCCCCCAAGCAATTTCCTGGGAAACTACTTTGTAACGGGATATTAGCGGGTTTATTGTTGACCTTTGACCTTGTACACTCGTATAATGCAACTATGAACACATGGCTATCACCGATCGTATACCCTCGGATATGGATTTAGACAGGTGAGGTTATATAATTGACTGCAGGCTCCAGTCAAGCAGAACTTAGATCAACGGATATATGACACATCTGATAATTATTAGCTCTACTACAATCATAAATTTTCAAATGTCTTGTCCACATTATGCAATAAACCGGGTAGGATGTCTCAAATGACGATGTATGCCCATACAAGAAGCCATACGGCCCGAACACCCCAATTCCCTTCACAATGGAACTATAACTTTCAAACATCTTGGAGTAAAAGAAATATGGTCCACGCTATTCTTAAACTATCCCTCATAGATATCATTCATCTTCATCTGCCGTGAGAAGTAAAGATAACTTCGTCTTCTCGATCATCTCATCCCGCACTCCACATATATAATTCTTCACCTCACACGGACTCTTCTTCGTCTCCCCGTCGAAATAAAATTTCACAAAGCCATGCGCTAAATCTCCCAACACATCCCAACTCGGAACAAGCTCATACTCTCCACTTTCAACGATATGATCCAGCAGCTCACTCAAGTATCCATACCATATAGAAGACGTAGGGTCCTGAGGCCACTCTCTCACCATGAGAAGGACCACAGCGTCGATGAACCGGGCTGGCTTTGGGATCTTGATCGAACGAATAGACTGCCAACGACCATTTCCAGCTTCATCATTGTAGTCTGGTAGCCGAGGATCATCAACTAGCATATAGTCCGGATTATCCAATGGTGGTAGTCGCGTGGGAACCGGCGCCAGGTCAATGAACAGGTCCCCCATCTTATATAAGAGCACGACATGATTGTACGGTCTGTTCACCCGTGGTTGGACATGGTAGTGATATGCCGGTGCAAAAGGCCTCTTGTTGGGCCGGTATCCCTCGCAGTAAGACCTATGGCAACTGTGGAAACCGGCGTCTTGGAGAAGGGAGTCTGCTTCTGCAATGTAAAAGTTGGGGATGACCCAGGTGGAACTCTGAAAGTAGTTAGCTTTGATCTCACTGCAATAGAAAATGGTCATCTTACCTTTTGCTCCTGCACAAGACCATAGACGCACATTAGCCCATGACCGCAGAACACGTTGGGCACTCCACCATTATCTAGCGCCTTCGCAATAATGTTCTCTAGTTTATAGTCGATATGAGTGGGAGCTTTCGCTCCAGGCTCTTCAGACTGAGAACTCCCCATATCGTAGGGCTTTTGTGTCGACATGTAGTATAGATTTGGTTGGATACCGACTTCTGAGACTAAGTGGGGCGTTCTCTTTATATTAGAGTGCTGTAGACGCGACTCATAGTCATAGATGGGATTTCCCTGACTCAATCCTTTTATCCTCCTGGTAGAGTCTTAGCACTCTTTGAGCATGAAGATCAGGTGGCAACAACCCAATGTACTGCGCCTTTGGATAAGCACAATTTGTCGTTTATAAGGGTTTTCCACCTCCATTAACTGACAGAGCAGCGGATATAAAGACTCCCTGACCGCTTTAATTCAGGAAAGTGGAAGATTACACAGCATTTCACCGTCTGAACTTAAAATATAGAATCAACTCTTTGTTCAATTCTTGCTTTAGTTACCATTCTTATGCGTGTCTCAAGGAAAGGTCCGTCGACATCTAGTATGAAATGCCCTTATTGTTCGAGATATGCCGTTGGTCCATCTTTCAATAACATCCAGCCTTATGAAATATTGATTCTCGCTTCAATGACCGGTATATTCCACTAAAAATGGTCGAACATGGCTATGGATAGTTTCTGGTGACAAGAATAAGGATAGAAGTTGAAGGACAAGTCGGTTGCACTCTCCCAATCTAACGGAAAAGCCCGAACATATTTCTCTATATTTCTAGCCATCATGTAGTACTTTCAAATGGAGTCGCTACTGAACTCGTACTAGTTTCTAAGATGACATAGTAAAACTTCTTGTCGAAGAAACCCCAATGAATATCTCATTGCACCCTTGGCATCCGTACTATGCATGCTATGCTCTCGGAAATAACTAGATCTGACAAAGAAATTGTCGGCTAAAACTATCTAGCCTGACATACTCCTCACTTACATTCTGTCTATGACTGCAAAACTGTACTTCAAGGTTGGCTTGTTAGGGCTGCCATCCTGACTAAGCAAGCAAGTCACATGTCTCAGTCTATCTATCACGTGCCTCCATCTTGACTGATTGCGGAACTTCGTACTTTTCACAAACTCGCATCTTAACCCATCCACTCAAACCTCTCGCGTCTTTGAAGGCCCTGTCCTTCCGATTCTCCCGTGGGATTCTATATCTCCCGATGGGTGGATCCCTAGACGCCGCCCAGGACAGTGGACGCTGTCGAGATCCATGACGATGGCACCTCCGAGCGGGTCGGCGGCATACAAGAAGAAAGATGGCACCCTGACCATAGCCCAGGACCGCCAGTCGATCTCTTGGATCCCGGCGGCTGGTGGTGCAGCTGGTGCAATTACTCTTCCTGTTGCTCAGATCACCAGTACGTCGTGGTCTTTAGCTTGATTCACCGGGCGCGATTATACTGACTACGGCATAGATTTGCAACAGACCCCCGCGAGTAACCCGAAAGTGATGCTGAAGATCTTTGTCCTCCCTCCGAACGCCCCCGCCAGCTCCCCCGAACAATATGTCTTTTCCTTCACAGCTGGAGCGAACGCGCGACCGGAAGCTGATGCCATCAGAGATGCGCTCAGTGCCGCTATTCAAGCTGCGAAGACAGCTCAGAGTGCCCCCGTTAAAGAAGGCGTGTCTCCTGCTATGGCCATAGCGAATGCGGTATCATCGGCAGGGAAAGAGAAGAGCCCGTGGGATGATGACAAACGGCTTCAAGGAGATGTGGAGCTGCAGCAGTCGCTGCTGAAGTCGAATTCGACTCTGCAGCGCATGTTCATGGAGTCATTACACACCAAGCCGGATACGCTGTCTGCTTCACAATTCATGACGCAGTTCTGGTCTACTCGACTTCATCTTTTGCGCGCGCATGCGATCGAACGGTCGCAGACACGCGGATCGTACAATGTGCTGTCGACATTGAAGCCGCGGGTGGAGGATAGCGTGACAAAGCTGAATATTAGCAAGGAGCAAATTCAGTTGATTTTCAATCAGCACCCGCTTGTGAAGCGGGTATACGACGAGAATGTACCCAAGCTTAGCGAGCAGCAGTTCTGGTCTCGGTTTTTCCAAAGTCGGTTGTTCAAGAAACTGCGCGGAGAGCGCATCTCCGAAACGGATCCCACGGACATAATCCTGGATAAATACCTCAAGGCGGATGAGTCAGGGAATTTACCGCGCGATGCGCATGTTCCACATTTCCTAGATTTGGCTGGAAATGAAGTGAACAACAGTCAACGGCAAGGCAACCGACCCGATCTCGACATGCGCCCGTCCTCTGTGGAAAAGGTGCCCATTATCCGCACACTGAACAGTCTGAGTGAGAAGATTATGGCGAATGTTGCACCAGCAGATGGCGAGGCGGATGGCAAGACGGGTGAGGATGGGACATACAACGAGCTGCAGCTGCGCGATCTACGCGGGGTTGAGGAACAGCAACGTATCCTCCTCAACGTCAAGGACCAGAGTCGCTTTTTCTCGTCGCATTCAAAATCTGCGGAGGATGAGCAAAACAAGCTATTTGCCCAGCAGGATCCGAATCAGATACTAGGAAAGCTACGTGGGGATCTAGAACAAAATTTGCCAGAGGGCGGAGCCGCGCCGCTAGGGAGATTGGTAGAACCGCAGGAAGATGAAGATGAAGATCAACAAAAGTTCGAAGACGTGATTGGTTCTAGGGTGAATTTGAAGCGCGCCTCAAACCAAATTTTCGAAGCGATCCGTGACCGCCGATCCCAAACGGAGGGATCAGGCAATGCCGGCACATACGGGTTGTCGACTGCATTGTACGACCGGTTGACACTGACGCATGCCACGACGACTGAATTCTTGCATCAATTCTGGCAGGCATTCCTATCCGGGAATCCGGATCGCGCGGGTGAGGTAGCTTCGCTCGTGGAGTCCCTAAACAGAGCCATGGAGCGCATAAAATCGGTGGCGCAAGACGCAGAGGCAGAGCGGCAAGTTGAGGTTGATCGACTGAAGCAGCATGCCCGGGAAGTGTTGGAAAGGACGGGAAGGAAGCTCAAGCTCAATCTCGCTGGTGTGGCTGGGGGTGAACAAGCTGTCAATCGACTACTGGGACCGACCATCCGGGCGTTGGAAACGGCGTTGGCGAAGTACAACCAGGCGTTGGCTGAAGAAATGAAGGAAATGCCATCTGCGTGATATGGCGATAATGTATGATAGAATAGACGTAAATGACTATTAACGATCCATTGTAAAGCCAATTAGGACTTTTAAGTACTTCGATCGGCATGCCGAGCCCTCCGCTCTCCGCCCCTCCGCCTCGGCCCGCCCTTTCACGCGACGTGTCCCTCACTTCCTCCATCTTCCTTCCAGCTTGTCAGACCAGCATCGCGACCACCAGGACGCTCCACTAATAAGACATCGCCTTCATGCTCTAGTTATTGTTTAATATTCAGGAGAAACTACCTCCAGTTCCATATTCTAAATAAACCTAATAAATTCACAATAACATCTCGAAGATGTTAACCTCCGGACTCACCAACGCCTCGATCTCCAAATCCCTTCTCATCTACACCATCGCCTCCTCAGTGGCTCTAGCCATCTTCGACCTTAAACACCTCACTAGTATCCAAGTTGCGCCACACATCTGGCAATATGGACAGTTCTGGCGCATTCTGGTGTGGCAAGTAGCCGGATTCGCGAACTCGACGGAGGCGCTGTTCGCTGCGATGCTTGTGTATCATCTACGAGTTGTCGAGCGCGCTTGGGGAAGAAGAAAGTTTGCCGTACGTCACTCTCTTCTACCTTACTCTTTCTTCTTATAGCATTCCCCGTCTGCAAGCTATACCACCCGATGCAGTACTAACAAGCAATATTGGCTTATAGACCTTCCTCCTCACCACACTCCCCTACACAACCCTCCTCCCACCTCTCCTCCTCATCCTCGTTCTCCGACCTATCACCCTCGGGAAATTGAACTACCTTCCCTCCGGACCTGTCGCGACTATCTTTGCTTTACTAGCGCAATACCACGCCTCAATCCCATCTACCTTCCGCTACCGGATCTCCACGTCATCTGCCTCTGATTCGAACGAGACGAAAGAACAACCGCAACAGAGCAGCAAGTCCCTTACTCTTACACTGTCTGATAAATCTACAACGTATATTGTCGCTGCGCAACTGGCTTTGTCGCAGTTCCCGGCGATGGTCGTCCCCGCTGCGGTGGGATGGCTGGTTGGTGTGGCCTGGCGGACGGAGTTTCTGCCCGGGACTGGCGCGTGGAGGGTTCCGGCGTGGATGGTGGGGGAGAAGGAGCGGAGAGTTGTAAATGGAGCTGGAGGGGCAGATGGTGGGAGATATGAGGATCTGAGGAGGAGGTTGGAGGGAGAGGCTATTGCGGCGTCGGCGAGTTCGTCGGCTACGGGTGCGACGGGGGATGCTGCGGGACAGAGGTTGAGGAGGAGTGGGGGGATATAGATTAGAGGGTCTGTCTCATGTAGTTATTTACGATATAGGGGTCTTTGATAACTTCAATTGTTCAAACATTATGGGTATACTACTCGTATAGGAGCTTTCGGTGTTTGAGCGAAGTTATACTTACCTAGAGTGTATCATATGGAATGTCCTTTTTATCTAGTGATATGCAGATATCCTTTTCGGGCTCGCTTCATTGACTATGACACCAGTCATTATGTATTCCAGCCGGTGTTTCCAGACTCGTCAAAAAGCCAAGCTGATCCCCGGCATAAAACGCGGCGCTTTGACCGCCGAGGCCTGTGATATACTATAATTGGCATCTAGACCGCACGTGAGTCCACTGTTATCGCGTGTCGTGGCGGTAGGGACTGGCAGAATCCGGCCAGCTGAACTCTCCCCAGATCAGTCGCTGATTATCGTCTCCTATTGATTGCCCTTCGGTGCCAGCTCTACGATACACTGACATCCATGCGGATCCACCTGCCTTCCTCGGTTGCATTCATATTATCATATATGAATAGGACATGATCGTTGGATCTACCTTCAATGGTTCCAACTACCAGCTATGCTAGCTCATTCCTTCGGTATGGGTTGTCCCGCCGGTTTAGCCTGCGCCGGCGCTTCCTCCAGGGTCTGTTACTTTGTATGGTGACCTGGACGATACTGGAAACTCTTTATATCCATCATCAAGCTTCTACTGTGGATGTGGCCAAGGATCACCTATCACCCCGACCTGAGCGGCTATTCATCGCGAGTATGCACTGGAACAACGAACCAATCCTGCGAAGCCATTGGAATGATGCGGTGATGAATCTAGCAAAAACTTTTGGACCAGATAATGTTTTTGTGAGCGTCTACGAGAGCGGGAGCTGGGATGATTCCAAGGGGGCTCTCCGCGACCTTGACGCTGGGTTGGACCGACTTGGCGTGCGGCGCAACATCACCCTATCGGCCACGACACATCAGGATGAGCTATCCGCTCGTCCTCGAGAAGGCTGGATCGATACACCTCGCCAAAAGAAGGAACTCAGACGCATTCCTTATCTTGCACGGCTACGCAATCTGACCTTGCAACCACTGGAAGACTTGTCGCAGCAAGGCATCACATTTGACAAAGTGCTGTTCCTGAATGATGTGGTCTTCACTGTATGTCTCGTATATAGATCAGACTTTGCACGTCGCTAACTTCCAGATTACAGGTGGATGATGTTATCCGGTTACTCGATACAAATGACGGTGTCTACGCTGCCGCTTGCTCGCTGGACTTTTCTAAACCGCCGCTTTATTATGACACATTTGCCTTGCGCGATTCGAACGGCGACGAGCATGTAATGCAGAAGTGGCCATACTTCCGGTCTGCAGCCTCACGCAATGCACTGCTTGCCCTGTCTCCTGTGCCTGTCAAGAGTTGCTGGAACGGAATGGGTTGGTGACTCCCCTACACGCTCTTCTCGATGCCCATGTTGATCGATCATATATCGCAGTTGCTATGCCTATAGAGCCTTTTGTTTCCACTCCTCCGCTACGGTTTCGCGCTATCTCCGATTCCCTGGCGCTTTCACATCTCGAGGGTTCTGAATGCTGTTTGATTCATGCGGATAACCCTCTCTCCAAGCAAGACGGGGTTTACTTGAACCCTAAGGTTCGTGTCGGCTATAACCCTGCCGCCTATGAAGCTGTTCACCCTACAGGGGCCTGGTTATCGCTTCAACATGTGGCATTAGCTCTTTGGGAGAACCGACTCCGACGCTGGTTTACAACACCATTTTTCAAAAAGCTGGTTGTCCGCAAGAGGATTGCTGGATGGCATGATGACCATATCGATGAGCAAGAACCTGGTGACTTCTGTTTGATCAATGAGATGCAGGTGCTTGTCTCTAACGGTTGGGCACACGTCTGAGGCCAAATTCGTGGGTGTTCCTACAATTGGGCGCTTCAACTTCCGAAGTCAGTAGAGATTTAATCTAAAAACCAACTTCAACACACGACCGCCTATGTGTCCTGTTTCCAACCTCATGAGGTTGGAAGGTCGATGCCAAGAAGTAGGCGCGAACTGCTGATAGAAAGGCTGGGATTGCCCGGGCAAAAGTCGGAAAAGAGTCAAATACAGCCTACGACGGTGCGGTACACCATGTATTACGCCCCACAGCTTTCTCTCTCCCTCGCTTCTGTACTGCCACCAGTCAGTATCTACTAGCTGTCGAGCTCTAACGCACTACCTCATTAAGCGTCTTTTGTCCCTTGGTTCGCAATGACCCCGCAGACCGTCTCGTGGTCGAGACCAATGATATGCTTTTGGTGGGCCGCGGCGCTAAAGGCACTGACTCCTGTCTAGTATCTTTAGCCTTGTCTGATCGTTGCGGCCCCCTCCCTTTGACCGGGTGCAGGGAGAAAGGCTCTGGTGGCACCTAAACTGCCTCTATGCGCTTGCGCGTAGCTTTATCGTCTACCGGCCTAATTTGACGTGGGCACTTTTTGTTGGCCGGTCTTGTCGGCTAAGGGATCAGGGGCTGGGTAGACTGCTTCAGCTCGCCGTTCCATCCTCCAAGCGCTAGTATTATCCGAGCGGTTCAGCGAGCAGAGGCCAATCAGCAACTAGGTCCCCTGCTAGGCTATGTGCTATCAATTTAGTAGATCACATTACTCCAGTCCTTGAAGCTCAGATATGGGATTGACGCTGTTCCGCGGGCTTGGACGCAATTTATTTATAAGACGTCTACGGCTTAAGCCTTGCGTTCCATCTTCTTGGTTCACATACTATACATGGCCTTATCTGGGCTGAGGCCAACCACCTCCCCCTGAAATTATATTCAAGACAGTTATACCACACGGATTTCCAGAAATGACCTCCGAGAATGGCACTCGGCCTTCTTTTCAAAATGGACTTCGCCTCGTTTTTAACACTTATTCCTCATCCAATCTGTCATGGCAGTCCCAATTGGATGGTGAAGCAGTGAGCTTAGAAAACATGTATGCCGAGCCGTATCGGCCGACCACCGCGTAAGTCTAGACTGGGACTTGACAGACCCTGGCTATTGCTGAATTCCTACAACGCGTCGAGCAGTGACTCCAATTTGCATGATGGCATCTCGCGCTCCAATAGCGACGCCTCCGATAGCGTCCAATCTATACAAGCAAATCAGCGCGCGCAGTATGGTCGGCGCCCAATTTCGGACAAGGCTCGGTGCATGGTACACTCGCTTCGAACTACAATGGTGGCCCGGATGGCCCAAGCAAGGAATCGATTGCGTTGGCAACGACTCCAATCGGAATCCAATAGTCGCGGGCTCGGCGACCATTTTCTGGCATTGCTGAAGAATATCGGCATCACATCTTTCCACAATACCTGCTGCAAGCTGCGCGGTATTAAGGTAACAGAAAAGCCGAAGGTCTTCATGGACAGGAGCAAGACACTTGCATCCATCCGCTGTGTCCTGCATGTAGTTCCTGTCAGTGCTGCATTTGCACTCATCATGCTTAACTCCACTGGTTACTATATTGGGGGCGAATTATCTGGCACTTCTGGACAGGATGCTGAGAAGCTGGCTGCGCTGACATTCGCAGCTAAGCTTCATGAACTTCTCATGCTAGCTTCGCTTGGCTCCATACTGATTACCTATATCCGCAGAGAACTTGCCTTTGGGGACGGCCTTCCGTTTGGTGCCATTTTCACCTCTTTGCAGTTTCAAGACATCAGTTTCCTTTGGTCTCTCAGCATGTGGGGTTCAGTCAATCATGACTGGCAACGAAAAACCACTAAATGGTT